ACGTCATGACGCTAAACTCAATGGCCACCGGCCACTCCTTTCCATGGGCGTTCCCATGAGACCCTTTCAAGAAAGAAGATCTCTTGGATTGCTGAGCGAATTCAGTCATGGAGATTTGGAAGATGACAGAGGGACCACGCAAGTCGATGACACTAAAGAAGCCACCCTCAGAGCCGACGCCTACGAAGCCCACGTCTGAGACGCAAGTGGCCGTGATAGGACCTTGCATCATCTCGTACAGTTGCCAGGGCTGCAAACCCTCCTTAAGGCCGGGCTCCGCTCTTGAGCTGATGTCCGTCAGCGCTCCCGGGTTGGGTGGCAGATCTTCATGGTGGTCTTTTCCAAAGAACCGATTGCCGGCCCATCTGTAGAGAACCAATTCACCCGTACGCGTTCCGACCGCGAATTCGCCAGTGTTGGGGGCCATGTTCATCGTGGTGATGTCGATGTCTTGGTAGCGGTCCAGTGCGCGTGCGACATCAACTTGCAGCATGGTTGGGTTCTCGATCTCATCATCATGACCAGCATCCCAAAGTCGCACGGTGCTGTCCCCATGTGCTATCTGGAAGATCGTGCGACCTTCGTATCTGCGCTTGGGCTTCGCTGTCTCGGCACCACCCTTCAGAAGAGGTTCGCCCTGGTTTCTGGTCTCGACCATTCCCATCCAGCGACCTCTATCCAACGTTTGCACAGCGAATTTATTGACATATGGGTGGACAAAGGAGACGGACGGATGCAGTTGGTTTGTGGGGCTGATTGGGTATCCCGACGGGAAGCTCATCGTCAGCAGCTCGCCCGAAGTCAGGAGGGTCATGATCGCAATGGGATCTTGTGCGCCAGCAAAATAGGGCGAAGAACGAGGGATGAGGAGAAAGTCTGCCACTTGGGCGCCCGGTGGAGTTGGCAAGGTGATTTGGCGTTTGCCTTTCAGATGGTCCTGAAGAACTTGCCAACTCGAAGTCGCATAAATTGGCGTTTGGCCCAATTCGATGAAGGTCAACCCCTCCTGGGGAGATTCCGGATTCTGACCACCAGAAATCAAGAGCCCAGTATCATCCGGATTCTCCTTGCAGCACCAAGCAATACGTCCATATGGCTCTGTGTAGCCGGCATGTCCGGCGTTCGGTGTTGGCTGATCGACACTCATTTCCGTGAGTGTCCTTGCCATGATGATGCGGCCATCCTTAGGATCCCAGAATACCAAACTGCCATCTTCGTGCGCCGTCATGATAAAGGTTCCTGTTGGATGCCAGAGAGCGTGCGTAACTCTCGGCCTGCGAACTGTGTCCGCCGGCTGCCCCCCACCACCAGGTGCGCCTGGTTGAAGTACGTATTCGAAGAACTTGAGAGCTTTGTTTTGCTTAAACGAATAAATAACGATGCCCGTGGTGTACGCGATGAGCATTTGCCCGATATCTCTCGGATGCAACGAAATGCTCACCAGCCCAACAATGCGGGCATTCGGATCCCTCTCTTTCCAAAAGTTTGGTAGCCGGAATGATCTCGCAATATTCTCCCTGTCCAAATCGTAGGCCAAGACTTCTCCAGTGGCCATGCCAAGAAAGGCCCAATCGAGCATAGGATCTGTGACCATGGAGATGACCTGACCGGGGCAGACGAGAGCCGCGATGCGCTTCGCAGTGTCGAGGTCCCATACTCCCAGTTCGTTCTTGGCATCAAGGGAGACGAGCTTATTGGCGGTGAAGTGGATAGAGCGGAAAGATGTGTGCCTTGGCGGCTCCATGACCTTGGAGACTCTGTTTTGGCCGAAAACGAAGATCTTGCCGGGGCCGAACTTGGACTCGTTGGTCGCAATTGCGAGAAGGGACTGAATCGGATCGTATGCTAGGCAACTGCACCATTTCCAGTCAGTCTCGGGCCTCACATCAAGGTCTGCAGTTCGAAATGCTATGAAGTTGACGCGCGTCAACGTGGCGTAGCTTGGCTACTGACCTAACCTGCGAGTTGATGCCGTATGCAGACTGGTAATCGGGAGCGAAGAGCTCGGGGATGATTGACGCAGACAGGTCATTCTGCATGCCTGTCTGCTTTTGTCGAAGAAAGGCAGCCATGGTGAGAGAGTGGTGCAAGTTGGATCTGGAGATGTAGGAGGGAGGTCCGGGAAGCTTGGGATGCCCCGAACTTTCAATACTTTAGGGCGGCCGAAGATCCGCTTGGCGGGGTGCCTAGTGGGCAGTGGTCAAAGTCCCTGCAGCGAACCAAACGGACGTCATAAGGTTACCATTGGTCTGTGCCCCATCCAAGCGAGCCCAAAGCCCAAACTCCTGCCAACGATTGACGGGTTATGTAAGCAATCTTCAACGGCGTCCAGGCCCATCCAACTCTCCGCCAACGCCGCTTCAACAACAATTTCAGCTTGCCTGAATGGACAGCATTACATACGATCTCAGATGCTTTGCATACTGGCGGCATTTTCAACATAGACCATCATGCGTTACCGGGTAAAGCAAGATGTACCGTTGTGTGGACGGTCGGCGGAACCGAGATCACAATTCCCAGGATTCGGTCACAAGCAGCACGACTGAGCAACGCAACCTGCAGCTGATAATGCTGTCTATTATGTCTACAATATACTACGTATGAAGCTCTTCCACACCATCTTTTACTACAATTAAGGGTATCGATCGCTGCTCAAAACAACGAATGCTCAAATTTGGGTTCACCTTAGTGGCACCATGTTTAGACGGAGCCGGCAGCAGTGCCCTCCTCAACACGCTTCTCCTCGTTGTGTCCATGGACGGGAATGGCACTTGTTGCCCTGCGAATTCAGTCAGTACAGTTTCCGAAGCAATATACCATAATCAAGTGAAACTTACAAGTCGTCCTCGCCGGAGAGCTCCTCAAGCGTCTTCCTCGCCGTCTCGGGGATCAGAAGGGTGGTAAAGAAACCGCAGAGCATGAAGAGCGCAAAGATCTGCATGATGTGGTTGAGCCAAGGAGTGCTGTATCTCGGGTCGGTCTTGGCCTTGGCGGCATCGGCACCGATGGTACGGAGGGGTCCGAAAACCACCTGCGCAATAATGGCACCGACCTTGCCTGAGGCGGCAGAGATTCCGTGAGAGGTGGATCTGTATCTGGTAGGGAAGCATTCGCCAGGAACGATAAAGGTCGTCGAGTTGGGACCGGCGTTGAAGAAGAACTGCGAGAGGGTGTACAGCGCCATGAGAGCAGAGCCCGAAAGATTCCAGTAGTCGAAACCGATGACACAGAAGAGGAGCGTGAGAGCGAAGAATCCGAAGAGCTGGATGGGCTTGCGGCCAATGGTATCGACAAGAGCAGCAGAAACCCAGTATCCGGGAACCGCACCGGCGCAGACAAGAATCAGGTTGCCAACAGCCGTCTTGTAGAAGATGTGGTACATATCAGCACCACCAGACCACCCGATGGCGTTGAGGATGATGGCGTTGTTAAGGCCCAGGCCGTAGAAGGCCACATCAAGGAAGAACCATGAACCAGCGGTACCGAGGAGGACCTTGGCGTTCTTCCAGGTGCTGTAGTGGCTGAAGAAATCCCTCCACGAGGCCTTGGGAACCTCGAGCTGCTGCTTGGCCTCCTGGCGAGCGATGACTCGGGCAGCCTCATCGACCTGAGACTCACCCCACTTGCCCTGCTTGTAGTAGTCGACGTCGCCCTCGGCCTTGGAAACATCATTGTCGACGTCGAAGGTGTATCTGGGAGTCTCGGGGATGGTAAGGCGGAAGTACAAAGCGATGCAGCCCGGAACAGCGCCGAAGCCGATCATCGTGCGCCACATCTTGTCGACAGCCATGATGCAAGGTTCGGTGGTAGAGCAGGTGGCGGCCTTGCTAGCAGTCTCAAGGGAGCCCTTGAAGCCGGCGGTGACGATCAAAAGCATAATGCCACCTGCAAGCTGGCCGAAACCCTGGTTGGCAAAGCTATCGCCAACGTTAGAAGAAAATCACTCATTGGGGCGGAGCCGAGGACTTACACTGCGTTCATCATGAATCCTCTCCACTTCGTCGTGGCAAACTCGGAGGTAATGATAGCGCTAAGGGGGTAGTCACCACCGATACCGATACCCTGCGGCCGTTGTTAGTGGCTCTCCCTCGAAGTCATTCAACCAGCACTTACCATGATGATACGCCAGAAAACAATGAGGCCGACGATGGAAACAGACGGGGAGGAAGACGAAAGAGCCTGGGCAAGGGTAGCAATGATGATGACCATCAATTCGACACCGTACTGTGACTGAGTTAGCTACCTCTTCTCTTTCGCGACGTCAATGAAGCTGCGAGCGCCTACCATCTTCTTGCGACCGACGATATCAGCCAGAACACCAAATCCGACCTGACCAACAACGGTGCCGGCGGAGGTAGCGACCTTGATAGCGGTGTCGTGCTCGGCAGGAAGAGTGCCGCCGAAGTACACTATGCCCAGCATGGAGGTGACGAGACCGATGGTGAAGATATCGTACTGGTGCCTAGTCAGTCTCGACCAATTCTTCTGTTCGTAGGACAACGTACCGAATCGGTAAAGAAACCAATACCAGCGACAACGATGGCACGAACGTGGTACCAGCCGAAAGGCGCCTTGTCAATCTCGGCCAAAGCAAGGCGACGGCGCTCGTTGGCGTCGGCGACGTGAGCGAAGTCGTTGTTGAAGTTATGGAAGGCTGCGTTTCCTCCCGAGGTCTTGTTGTGCTTGATGTCGGCACCGGTCAGCTCGCGAGGAGCGGCGGCGTCCACGCCCGCGGCGTGCGAAGGTTCGATGACACCGGCCATTGTGTCGATCTGCTCAAAGTCCGGTTTGACTAAACGAATGGCAAAGTCAGGCCCGAAGGAGAAAGCAGGTTTGGATGGCTTTGATGACCTGCTGGGAAGGATGAGGGAGGAGCGTGAGGAGCAGACAAACTCAAAGCCTAGGGGGATCGGGGAGTGTGTTTGGCTTATAAGCAGGACACATGTGGGCAAGGGGACTTGGTGCCATCTGAGCTGACAGCCTTCTACAGAGTTACATGCATGGATATTGGCAACGAACACTCTCTAGTGGACCCGGAAGATGCGACGACTAGGGACACCGACGAGGAAGAAGACGAAGACATGGTTCAGAATCAGCCTCCACCTCGGAGACTACGTGCTAGCGTAGAGAACGGGACGAGATGGAGGGATTCCAGGGAGGGCTGATGTACCTCGTAGGGCGAATGACAAGCGTCGAAGAAGTGCGAGAGTATCGCCTGGACTACGATCCTTTGGGTCACCTTCAAGAGAGCGAGACATCGGCTATGGAATCGACAGCAGAGAAGACAAGGTTCGAAATGGAAATGGCCCCCCACCCGGGGACCAGCAATATGGAGACCGCCGACGACGACCAAGAGAGGAGCCAGGCGATAGAAGAGAGGCGTGGAGGGCAGCAGGGATGTGTGCTGCGCAGGTCTGGAATTATGGTTGTGTGGAGCCGTGCTCGGCGACCGATTGGGAATGGCGCGTGTTTTTCACTTTTTCCCAGACTTCGTCTCTCGTCTCTACTTTGGCTGAACTTCCAGACCGCGACTCCCGACTGGCTGCCCGCCCATTTCACTTTCTGCCTCTTACACCGGCTACAGAAAGATCAAACAAGACATAGGGCGTCATCGGACTTTTCGCGAGGTCGAGTCGCATTAGAAATGCTGGCTGAGGAGAGGTCTAGACAAACTGTCAAACTCATACTGGGAAGTCGAGACTCACAGTAGAAGTGAGATGTAACGGCCCGCTTATGTCAATGTTGTTCGGGAACCAATGGGCACGCTCGCTTTGAGAACATGGTCCCTAGGAGGGGCGATGCTAGTCCAGTCGGGGAACGACCAACGATGGTGGCACGCGCGGTACCGCTCTAACAATTTCCGATCTTATTTCCCTTGTCCAGGCCAACCTGGCACCTTCACAACACATTGAGCAGGCTGCAGGCCCAACGATCTGAAGCCCAAGCCGGATTGCAGTCAAGCTTTCTGGGCGCTTCGAACGGGAGACTTGGCTACAGCCGATCATGCTTGGCCACCGGGTGGATTCCTCCAGTAGCAGCTTGGCAACGCGAAAGCAGTTCATCCAAGATAGCCAAGTCTAAGACGTAAACGTGGAACAAGAAGACAAATAGCCCGCCACTCGTCGCTATCGATTTCCGAGGATTGATGACGCCGAATGTTTCATTATCGCCGAGAAATAATGCTCTGCTGGCATATCATGGCAGGTTTTTGCAGCACGTTGGCCGACATTCCACGTTGGAACCGTCCATACTCTAGCCTATTCCACATACCCAACGCCCGATACGAAGACCAATCAGTCCAGCAAAACAAGGGGTACCACGGTTTGCCTGACTGACATGTCCCTCTCCGCCGGAGGTACTTCCCTTCCTCTCCAACTTCCAGCATCAGCCTAGGCCCGGCCGACCCTCCCGTGGATTCAGCCCCGGGGTGGTGAGGGAGGTGGGCTTAATGTTTCCGTGCTACGGCCCGCCAATCACATCGCGAGTCGGGAGCACGTTGCGCGACGGCTCTACCCAGCAACGACATTCGATGTCAATGGCTTTGGATCTCAGCGCTGGACTTTTTTATTTCTTTGGCTTGACGAAAATCGGCTAAACTAGGAGGTTTTGTATAGCGACTGCTCTTTTTGAAATCGACGGCATGTCGTTGAAGAGAATGAAATACCCTGGTGCGGCTCGCATTCCTGGCTGGAAGCTCCCGTGGTCTGCCGCTGCTTGGCACTTGGCATCGACAACCTTTTTACCACTGAGGTCGCGCGATGATGCCACCGCCAAGAAGGAGGCCAAGCTTTCGGGCGTGCGACGACGACGCCCGTCTAGGAATGTCGATATTGCCCTCCCCCAACATTGAAGGGAGTTCTGCAAAGCTGTCGCGTGCCCGTTGTCTCGTTACGGACGGGGCATTCAAGTCTGTCCACTGGAGTCGTAAAAGTCAAGTCTCGTCAACCCACGTGCTCGGACGGCGTTCCCTGTTGGCAGACCTGTCGTAGCCAGATCGACGTCGTCTCAATGAAGGGGTTCATGTATGACACCGGGGCGCGTGTTGCATGGCGTTACACGTATGTATCCTCTATATTCCGGCTCTCTGGTACAGATATCCTTGCCGCTGTCGCATGGCGTATTTGCGCACAGGACCCTCAAGGCTCAATGAGACTATGAGATACCTCTCTAAGTAGCCGGAGAGAGCGAGAAGATAGCATTTCGCCAGTCCGATGAGTTCAAGATTGCTCGAACCTTGTACGAAGTTGAGTCCATTAGCAGCGCTCGATTGCCACCGCTATCCATTGTCGGCCGTACCTAAATTTTCACCAAGATCATCCTAGCCATCAGTCTCAACACCATCTTCCGACCTGTCGCACCACGCTTTCCGATCCTCCTGATCAACTCGGTTATTCATTGCTACGATAGGGAAGTACTAAATCTGCCCGAAAAAAGGCCATCCCCTTTCTCTCTCTTTCACAGTCGTCAGCCAGGACGCTATGGACCCCCAGCTAGTCCTGTCCAGACCTGCCAGACTAAGCCAGGGTCCGGTTCCCAGTTGTCTCTGGGGTGGGATCCAGATGGGGGGTCCATAGTCTCCATTTGAACCAATGGAGCCCCAGATTTCGCACACGTGGGTGGAACCGTTCGTCCCCTTGGCTCGGGATGTGTATTTCGACCTCGACACGCAGCCGCTGCTGCGGGAACAAGTCTTTTTCGGTCGCCCAAAGGAGTGCTCAAAAGTGCCAAAGTCAGTCGGACTTTTTTCTTGCTCCAAGGACACATACGATTGCATGACACGAAAAATCGCCCGCGGCGCGCGACGGCTGGCTTATCCGGTCTTCGCGGCTTACCATTTTTGGGCGTTTGTCCGGGCGTTAGCTCGGTACTTGTGTCACACATGAAAATGGCAGGGAAGGAAAAGTCCCCAACTACCATTTGCACCGCTCTGTTGGGCGACTTCATTTCTAGACACGCCTGATGTGATGGAGCAGCCAACCCGATATCGCTGATTTGCGCTTACCTCACTCGATGATCTTCAGTATGTTATGCGGCAGTCGAGCTAGGAAAGCTGCCCGACGTACCCATTCCCTGAGCTCACTTGACTCTTCGCCCCCGCCGTGACATGTCATGACACCTCTTAGCGCGGGGGTTGGCTCTTAATCCATTCTTGACCCCATTCTCCGAGGAGACATCAGGCTCGTCGATCGTGACACCTGACGTCGAAGAGAGCTCTCGAGTGTTCCATTGCTATCATATTGCCGTTTCCCCTTACGAGGTACTCCATGAGAAGAAGATGGGTTTGACTCCAATCTCTTCTCCAATCTTGAAGATCTTGTAGGCAAAAAGAATTAAAATAATAATAAGATGGACTCTTCAACTCTTGGGAAGCATACGCCATATGTGCCTCGGATTTATCAAAAAGTCTTTGCAAGATAGCCACGAGGTTACGCTTAGTCCCCCGCTCAAATGCCGAACTATTTCCTGGAAAACAGGGGGCTTCAGTGGTCTATCGTCGACTTGTACATGGACAAGAGGAACGCAGGTCTAATTTTTGAGAGATCGGCCTTTCCGAATTCTCTTCTTCGCCTTCCTCGCATTACCTGTGGATCTGTCAATGCAATGTACTGACCACAACTCGGGTCAGAATCCTCAATCATCAATGCAGACCACGTGGCTCGGCATAAGCATTTACAGACGCCATAAGTCCGAGGAAGTAAGGCTGCTCAGACGCCTTTCCTTCCAAAAGTTCTCAGCCTCGGTCTGTTTCACTGACGACGGCAAGATTTTCGAGATAAAGCTCTAGTATGACCATACGTACGTGGACTTGGGTCACTGTCATCAGAAATCGTTCCGAAAGTTCTATTGAATAATGATTGCACATAAACGCTTGAGAAGTGGACATCCTCCTACCTCCCTTGGTGGATGGTGCACGTTGATGACCTGTTGCCCACCAACGCTCCGTGAGAGGACGCTTCACTCAACGGTCTTTGTTGCCATTTGATGCAGAGACACTGGTTCGGAATCCCCGAAATTGAGATGCGAGTCATCGAACAGCTTACACGCTGGCTTTTCTGGAAGCGATACAAGACGATGGCCCAATGTGCAAGGGTCATATTAACACAAAAGTAAGTCTCACTACGCCTTATACTCCCAAAAGCAGCGGTCTATATATATGTGGGAGTATAATCCGGTAGAAAAGTAGAAATGCAAACTTCTCAAACGTGCCTGAGGACACGCCGGTAATGATCTTTATGGTGGTACTGCAGGAAACCCATCATCTCTGAGGAGATGAGGTCTGTTATGAACTGCACTTTTCTAAGAATATTCGGCGGGCTTTGACCATGACGAACAGCTGGGGACGAAGATGTCTTGGAAGTCTACATACGGCTGCTGAGAACGAGATCGCAAGGTTCATCGACGAATTCAAGCTCTTTTGTATTGCCATCCGCTTTACTCAATTTCATCTTTGAGAATGTCTCAGCCTCCCTCCCGGGTGTCAGCCTTTGCCAATGATGACGAAAGGGTTTCGGCTTTTCCTGACGAGAGACGATATCAGCAACACTGTTGGAACATCATCCTGTGATAACAGACTCATTTTCTCTATTCAGTTCTAATCTCATCTCATGAAAATGTTGACTGTTATGTTCGTGACTGTGCTACAGAGCTGAATATCGAACAGGCTGAGCTTCCCGCGCCGATCCTTGAACTTTTGCAGTGTTCAAAGAGCAGGCAATCAATTTTACGCTCGTATCAAGATGTGACGGAGTCTCCATTTGATGGACTGTATGTAGAACCACGCTGGGCTTGTTTCCGTCAGGGTGAAATATTGCAATGGCGACTTTTCAAGATAGTAGTGAACGAATTTGTGCTTCAGCAATATATACATCGCGCCAGAGACGAAGAAAGTAAAGAGTGACATACTCCGTTTCAATGATCTCGGTGTCAACCAGCGTCTGTATCTGCTCACCTTGTAATGGGCATATGAGGAGGTAGTCGCGAGAGACAGAGCACGGATGGGACTTCTCTCCCACGTATATCAAGGGCCCGAGGCAGTGATGCCTGATCTTCAACTCCAATCACTGGAGCAAGACAGACTAGACAGCGGCATTCAATGGACCCGGTATGCTTGCTAAATGGTCAGGATACTCGTTGACAGTCTACAAGAAAAATCTGAAAGTTCCGTTGCAGTCACGTTCCCCCAGAATCCCGGGAGAAAGGTATGCTACTGGTCTTGGGGCTGCGAGGGGCAGGCCTTCGGTTCTTACTCATTTCGGTGTCTTCTCAAGAATTCTTGATACTAACCTGACAACTCACAGCGAGTAAAGCTCGATAATTGAGTTTATCATGATCTGCCTGTCTTGTTCTACGGATTCGGCACTGTTTCCCTCCAACGCTTAGAATAGGTAATCAAACCGGCCGTCAAGGCCAGCCAAGAACATCCCATCCACGCATCAACATCACAAGAACGAAGCGCAGTCAAGCCCAGGACAGATAGCTTGTGCATCATTATATTCCTCCTCACTACTAGAAACCACTCATCTCAGGCCCCAGATCATAAACCAGCCGTCGGGTTGTGTTCCATCCTAAGTCCATCGCATGATTTCATGAACAAAATGTATAAAATGTCCAACAATCCCATGAAAAATCGAAAATACCCTCCCAAGTCTATAACGCTTCCTTGTCTGGTTCAGCAGCTTGTGAAACGAAGCAGCCTATCCCGAACCCAAATTTGGAAATAACCAAGAAGAAAAAGAGAACAAAAACAGTTGAATCTGTTGCCTGGTTGCGTAGATCATACCCACATCGCAAGTTAAACGAACCGAAAAAGAAGTTGCGAAGCCGCAAAAAGAAGAAAAAGAGGGCATCCCCGGCCTCCCCATTTCCTAAACCCCTTACCACCCTTTCATTCTGCACCTAATCCGCTCTCCACACACACCACCACGCAACGCACATCT